GACTGAGGCAGGAGAATCGCTTGAACCCGGGAGGTGGAGGTTGCAGTGAGCCGAGATTGTGCCACTGCATTCCAGCCTGGGTGACAGAGTGAGACTCCATCTTAAAAAAAAAAAAAAGAAATCTTGCATCCAAGCATTTTGTTGATCAGCCTTATTTTTTGCTGTAGCACTCGTCTCTGCCTGACGTTATTTGCCCTCCTCCACTCGATGCGGGGTTCTTGAGGGTAGGGACCAGGTGCATTACAGACTGAGTGGTACCTGATCTTAGGGGCATGTGACTCATCTGTGTGCCGACTGACTAAGAGAATAAGTGGACCGTGGGGTACAGAGGAGGACAGAGTGGCTGCAGAGGGCTGGTGACTGCCTGGAGTGCCCGTGTGGTCTTCATTATTGTGTCTGGGTCACAAAACATGTTGAAGAACAGGATTTGGTTCACAAACAGTAGGAAAGATTCTCCCTCAGTCCAAGAGCAGGCCATGGGTGAAAGGGCTAAAAACAACTGTCTAGGTATAAAGATACCATGATAGGCTGGGTATGGTGGCCCACGCTTCTAATTGCAGCACTTTGGGAAGTCCAGGCAGGTGGATCGCTTGAGCCCAGGAATTGCTTGAGCGCATCCTGGGCAACTGGGCAACATAGCAAGACCCTGTCTCCACAAAAGAAAAAGAAAATTAGCCGTGTGTGATGGCATGTGCTGGAAGTCCCACCTACTTGGGAGGCTGAGGCCGGAGGACTGCTTGAGCCTAGGAGGTTGAGGCTGCAGTGAGCTGTGATTGCACCACTGCACTCCAGCCTGTGGGACAGAGTGAACTCCTGTCTCCCTCCCCTCCAAAAAAATTTAAAAAGCCTAAAACTGGTTGGGTGCAGTGGTTCATGCCTGTAATCCCAGCACGTTTGGAGGCCAAGGCAGGAGGATTGCTTTAACCCAGGAGTTTGAGACCAGCCTGGGCAACATAGTGAGACTCTGTCCCTATTTATAAATCAAAAACCAAAAGAATCTATCAGAACAGTTGTGATGGACAGCTTTGATTAGCTCCGACTCTGCACTGGGTGCTTGGCCAAGCCCTTGAATCCTCAGACAGCGGCAGCGGCAATCCCTGGGTCGTGGCCACTCTGATGGTGCCCATGTCAGTCATCAGTAATCGAGTGATGTTGGCCTAGGAAAGTTAGCATCCCCAAGGTCACGCGGGTGGGCGGTGTCAAGACAGGGAGTCTGTTGGTGTGGTGTAGGCTGTGGCGCTAACCCCTGGTGTCCATTGGGTGGTATAGGCTGTTGTGCTAACTCTTGCTCTCTCCTGCCTCTCCTCTCCTAGGCATTTGCATCAAGTGTGGGCTTGGCATCTACGGAGCCCAGCAGGCGTGCCAGGCAATGGGGAGTCTTTATCACACCGACTGCTTCACCTGCGACTCGTGTGGTAGGTAACCTCGTGCCCCGGGTAGCTCTGTGAAGGGGACCCACCACGTCACCCCCATTCTCCTCAAACCCCCTTGCACCTGAGTCCAGGCAGATGGACCACCTGGCTCTGGCCCAGGCGGGGCTGTGGAGGACTCTGTCTGGGGAGGTGGCATGGGACCACTGAGGAGCCTTTTGCTGGCGGTAGGACAGGGCTGCCCCCTGGTCGTCAGCTGTGGAGCCTCTGTGCCACGCAGGGCACTGATGTCACCCAGCTGCCTGGAAGCAGCATCGGAATCCCATGAAGGACCTTCTGCCTGTCTGGACATATGACTAATATTTCTTTTTCCCGCAATCTATTTTTGTTGTTGTTGAGACAGAGTCTTACTCTGTTGCCCAGGCTGGAATGCAATGGAGTGATCTTGGCTCACTGCAGCTTCTGCCTCCCGGGTTCAAGAGATTTTCCTGCCTCAGCCTCCTGAGTAGCTGGG